CTTCCTTATATATTTCTCTTTTTCCTTCCTTCCTTCCTTCCTTCCTTCCTTTTCTACCTACCTGGACTCTGTAAATCGCTTAGAGGGGATTGTAAAGCACTGTAAAGTGGTATATAAGTCTGCTATTGCTATTCCCCTTCCTTCCTTCCTTCCTTCCTTCTCTACCTACCTGGAATCTGTAAACCGTAAAATTTGGCATTGACAAAATCTCCCCATTGGTCAATTGCAAAAGGCAGCTTGGACTTGAGAGCCGCTTAAATCCCACGAGACTTTTTTCACAACGTTAAACAACTTCTGCTTATCCGTCGTAGAAGAACCCACCCCATTAAAAAAGCGCTCCAGGATCTCTGCAGTGCCCCCACCCCACCTGCCCCCCAACCCCAAATATTCTCGTCTCGAATGGATCCACGTCGGACGTACCCGTCCACTTTGCCTTTCGTGCCGTCCAGGATTTCGACGCTGGTGCCATCCGGGAGGCACCAGTTGATGCTGGATTCTTTGGTCTTCCCCGTCTGCCTCGCGGAGTCGTAGACACTGACACGGCCGACCTGCAGGGCCCAAAGGGGGGGGGAAGGGAGGGGCTGGATTTCTTTGCTGGACCCCGAGCCGCGAACAGTCCTTGTTCAAGCCTGGAAGGTCTCAGTGACCTAAAATTTTTTTTAATATCCCGCCCGTACAGAACCGCGCGAAGATCCGGCTCTCTCTAATGTTTAGTAACCACAACGGTTTATAGCGTCTCCGCGGTGGGGATATATGGCTTGCTCGTTTTTGGGTTGGCCAGCCAACTTGACCGGCGAGGGGTTAAAAAGCGGAGTCCTTTTCCCCCTTCGAGGGTGAAAATCAATCTACGGGGTCGTCCCGATTTAGCAACGGTCTCGTACCGCGACGGTGCGCCATTTACCGACGGGGAGGAAGATATAACTTCCCGACCTCCGCAAGCCAAAGTAGGATCCCAGTTTCACTGAGTGACCGGGTTGGAGGTCCCTGTCAGCTGCCATCTTATGCTTGGCTTAGGCTTCGCTGCTACGCTGTGGCAGACTGCCACGAACTGTGTCGGAAAACTGAAAGTAGCTGCCGACACTCCTTGAAGCTGCCTCAAGGTCACACTCAGCTGAGAGAGGCCTGCATACCAATTTGTGCTTCATTACCAAACCATCTTGTTTGGACTTAATTGGTTATATTGGGGTGGGCAGTGAGGGACAGTTAAGGGAGGGGAAAAGGAGGATTTAGGGATTTGGGCTGGTGATTCTCAGTTCTGGCTACGCAATATTGCAATATACCGACCTCTAATAAACTATACCTTTCTCAACAATTGGAGCCGAGGATCGTTCTCTCTTAAAGTTATGACAGGACTGAGAGTCCCAACCGCGGTCCCTAAACGAGGATGACCCGTATAGGTTAGCGATCTGTTAGGGGGGGATCTCTGGAGGAAAATGGGGGGAAGAGATCTATTTTGTTTCTTAAGAAAAGGACCGCGATGTCTTTTGCTGTCTTAAGCGCTACCGTGCATCCTGACTCTTTTCGAGCATCCTGACTCTTTTCGATGAAAAAAATTCGGACTCTTTTTAGATCAGTTTAATCAGAGAGAGGGAAAACGCAGGAGGTACCTCGGGGTGATTGACCAAATAGGGCGCGGGAAGCCTCGCCCCGAAGGCGTTGCCGTCTTTGGACATCCGGCAGCAAATGGCGCGGGTCAAGTGGCCTTGGCTATACAAGTAGCCTGCAACAGCGAGAAAAGGCAGAGTTGGTTAAAAAAAAAAAGAAGAAGAAGAAGAAAAAAGCAGGTTGTAAGGAGAGCGGTCTCATCCATCTGGATTTGCTGGTTTATATATAGTTTATAGAACAATCCATCCGCGAGGGGCTTAGAAACAGGGTGAATCAAGGACAAATTGAACAAATAAATAATAAAAGTTGACCACAATACCAAGGAAACATTGGCGGTTAACGTCTTGAACACCAGGACAGGCAACAGTTGTAAAATATATGTTGGTTGCCAAATCAATTTACACACCGGGACAGGCAACAGTTGTAAAATATATGTTGGTTGCCAAATCAATTTGCACACCGGGACAGGCAACAGTTGTAAAATATACGTCGGTTGCCAAATCCACTTGGACTGTGGGGGGGAGTTCTAGTCCAACTTGAGGCATGAAAAGTGGCTGGGTGACTTTGGGCCAATCCCCAGGTGACAGAGGAGTTCTAGTCCCCACCTTAAGGCGTGACCGGCTCAGCTTACCTAGCGTGACCGAGCGAAGGTAGACGGGATGGATGAAGTGGGACAACAGGGCGCCTTGCAAGCCGAGCACGTTCCAGCGCAGGATTTTGTCGCTGCAGGACATGGTGCGCAGGCGTTCGCCGTGCTGGATGCCGTCCCAGGTTGGCACGATGTCGCTCGACTCCACCGGGATGGTGCCCTCTCCTGCGGACGAGTCCCGAGGAGGCAAATTAAAAAAGCTGGCCTGGATGCAGCGCACGAAAAACCGGCTGGGTGACTTTGGGCTGGGAGACGGGGAGTTCTAGTCTTGCCTTAGGCCTGGAAACCGGCTGTGTGTCTTTGGGCCAATCACTAGATGGGGAGTTCTAGTCCCACCTGAGGCATGAAAACCAGATGTGTATCTTTGGACCAATTCCTAGGAGACGGGGAGTTCTAGTCCCACATGAGGCCTGGAAACCGGCTGCGTGTCTTTGGGCCAATCACTAGATGGGGAGTTATAGTCCCACCTGAGGCATGAAAACCAGATGTGTGTCTTTGGACCAATCACTAGGAGACGGGAGTTCTAGTCCCACCTGAGGCATGAAAACCAGATGTGTGACTTTGGGCCAATCCCTAGGAGACTGGGAGTTCTAGACCCACCTTAGGCCTGGAAACCGGCTGCGTGTCTTTGGGCCAATCACTAGATGGGGAGTTATAGTCCCACCTGAGGCATGAAAACCAGACGTGTGACTTTGGACCAATCCCTAGGAGACAGGGAGTTCTAGTCCCTCCTTAGCAATGAAACCCAGTTGGGTGACTTGGAGTCAGTCCTTCTCTCTCAGCCCAACCCACCTCACAGGGTGGTTGTTGTGGGAAAATAGGAGGAAGGAGGAGTCTCGAGTTATTTGTAAAAAAATAATAATAAAAGGTGGGATACAAATCCCATAAAAATAATTTTAAACAACACCCCCCAATCCTCCATTCTCTGGCCAGCTCATCCGCTTGGGCCCTTTTATTCCCCCCCGTTTGCCAAATCGATGGAGCGAAGGGCGATCGAGGACGGTGCCCCCCCTAGAAGCCACGAGGACTAGAAGCTTTGGAGCCCCAGCCGCCCCCAGGGATTTGGAGGGGAGGGTCTCTCAGGCCGCCAGACTGGGCTGTTTACCGTTTTCCACCTTGGTGCGCAGTTTCCCCTGTTTGGGGTTCTCAAAGAGGGGCTGGTGTTGGTCCTCTCCAGCTGTGTTGGCCTGCTCGCTGCAGGACTTGTCGAAGAGTGCGCCGTCTCCGCAAGGCGCTGTGCTGGAGAACGCAAAAAAACACACAAACCCACACGCACCGCAAGCAATGAGGCTGAATCCTAACTCGGTTTAGAGTCCAACTCCAGCAAACCGAGTTAGAAGAGAGGCCCAATCCCACCCCCACCCCTGAAAAAAAGAAAAGAAATTCCCCTTATGCCTCCCCACAGGGAGTCCCTGACATACGACGGTTAAGGGGACCCGTCCAGACGGCGGATGGTGGTAAAAGAGCGTGTGATTTTTATATGACCTTTCTCGGCAGTGGTCGTGGAGCAACTTGCCGCGGTCGTTAAGCAAACCGTGGTAGCACCCCAGGGCCGCGAGGATCGAAATTCAGGCACAGGGATTCGCTTAACAAACGTGGCAAGGAATGTCGTAAAAGGAGTCGTAATTTCTCGTAAAAATGTCACAAAAGGAGGCTTAACCAATTTCTCGCTTTGCAACGGGGCCGTTAAGTCGAGGACTGCCTGTGGCCTGGTCACCTAAAACGTCGGTTTTCCCCCCGCTGCTCCGAGGCAAACCTCCGTTTTACAGGTGTACCGGTGAAATGCGACATCATGATAGCTCACCTGGCACGCAGGTGAAAGGTGAACACCCCCCGCTCACCTGGTGTACAGGTGAAACACGATACCACCACCCCAGCTTGCCTGGAGTACCGTGGAGAGGCGGCATTGCAGCTCACCTGGCGCCCAGGCGACACCATCCCAGCTCACCTGGCATGCCGGGGGTGAGAGGTGGCGGCGTTACAACTCACCTGATGTACAGGTGAAAGCTGACGTCCTCCTTGATCTTCAGTTTCCCGTCTTCCGCCAGCTGGAAGATGCTCTCCTCTGTCGCCAGGGGGTCGAACGCCATCAGCTCGTGGTAGAGGAACCTGGGGACGAGGAGAGGGGAGGTTGAAGGGACAACGCTGCCCGCAGGCGGAGGCAGCAAGCATCCTCGACTTACGATGAGGCCGGGGAAGAAAACCTGCCGTTAAGCGAAGGCATCGCCCTTAGCAGTCGCTGAATGGGTAGGGGGGTTAAGTCGAGGACTAACTATACTGGTGGAACGTTGGTGGGGGAGATACCCCAATAAAAAGGACCGGGCGTGGCCATTTCCCCCCCCCCCCCCCCCCCCGCCCCCCCCCCCGCGGTCGGGGGCCCCCGGCAACCCCCCCCCTCCATCCTCCGCCTCTTTCACCTGAGGAATCCCCTTCGGGAGATGATCTCGGCGTGGCAGTCGTTCACCGTCTCCCCTTTCAAGCTCAGCTCCTCCCCTTTCACGCAGCGGTTCCCTGCCAAGGGAAGAGACCCCCTTAGACCCTTCCTTCTCTCCCCTCCTTCCTTCCTTCCCTTCCATCCATCTCCTTATCTAATTACCCATCGCTATTCCTTCCTTACTCTCCCTCCCTTCATACCCTTCCTTCCATCTTTTATCTATCAACCCACGGATCTTTATCCTTCCTTCTATTTTCCTACCTATCTATCGCTATTCCTTTCTTCCTTCCCGCCCTTCTCTTCCTTCTTACCCTTCCTTCTATCTTTTATCTATCTACCCATGGATCTCTATTCCTTCCATTTATCTA